TAAAAAACCAAATGGTGTGGATTTTTTAGGAAGGATTTTAACCATTTAAGTTTCAAAACACCATTCATTACATCAAAGTCAATTGCGTTTCCACCACCTTCGATGTATGGTTTAACCAAATCATCTTTAGATATATAATCGCATTTATACCTCTCCAAATAAAATTAAAGTTTAAGCTATTAATTGTTTTGATAACTTTATTTGATATTGATAAAGAGTAAGATGGATACATAAATCTAGATAAAGTATCCATTTTGGTTAATAACATTCTTCCAAAAATTGTGATGTCTCTTTGTAACCACTTATTTAAGACTGTCTTACATTTGTCAACATTATCTGAAATATTTACTTTTTCTAAGACTTTGTGATCTTTTGAAATTGTGATGCCCAAATATTTTACCTCCTTCTCCACCTGTATGTCGTACAAAAACTGTGCCTGACATTCCTTTAACGCCAATAGTTCACATTCATTTAAATTTAATTTCAAGCCTGAAGCTTTTGAGAATGTAGTTATTATTTGTTTTACTAGGGGAATCTGATGTTCATTTTTTAAGAAAAGAGTAATGTCATCTGCAAGTCGACTAATTATTAAAGAATTATCCATAATCTCAATTCCGGCCACATTGCAGTTTTTAATTAAAATTGCGAGCATCTCCACAACCATTATGAATAACAGCGGAGAGCTTCCACACCCTTGCCTAATTCCTCGTTTAATGCTAAATCTTTTACCAGTGCCATGGCCTAACGACACAGAGCTATTTATATCATTATATAGTATTTCTATTATCTTCCTACATTTATCCCCAAATTCAAATCGAGTTAGTGTTTCTAAAATAAAAGGATGTTCTACTAAATCGAAAGCTTTATGAAAGTCCAAGAAATGAATAAAACTGCCATCACTAATTAGATCATTGTAGTCCAGTAAGTCTAAAACCAGTCTGATATTATTATGAATGTTCCTGTCTTTCAAAAACCCTGATTGTGTCTCACTAATTATACTTGAAACCCCTTGTTTAAGCCTTGTTGCAATTGCGCTAGAGAAAATTTTATAATCTGTATTTAATAAAGTTATGGGCCTTAAGTTATCCAATTGTCGTTTATCTTTGGTTGGTTTAGGAATTAATGTAATTAATCCTTGTTTCATGCTTGACATCAATTCTCCCTTTTCAATACTGGCCAGTATAGCTTTGAATAAGATTTCCCTTAAGTCTTCCCAAAAAAATTGGAAGAAATTAACTGTAAGCCCATCTGGACCAGGGGATTTATTAAGCGCCATTTTCTCAACAGATGTGTCTAATTCTTCAATTTTAAGGTCAGATTCACAAATTTCCTTAAATGATTCATCAGTTTTAGGGATCAGATTATCTATTTGATCAAAAAGGCATCACAATCTGCTTGGGAGAACTGTGAGGAGTGTAAATTAGAGTAGAATGTATAAAGTTTCATTTTCCGAGATTTTTGGGTCGTCTAATTCAATGCCATCAATTAACAGGGAAGATAAAAGATTTCTTTTCTGTCTACTCTTTTCTAAATTAAAAAAATATGAGGAATTTCTTTCCCCCTCCTCAATCCATTTGGCGCGTGAACGCACAAAAGCTCCTTCTGCTTTATTTAAGTAGAGCTGATCTAATTTAGTTTGCAACTCCATAAGTTTACTCTTTTCTTGGCTATCTGGATCATCCTTACTACAGTAATAAGTAATTTCTTGGAATAATTTACATTCATATTCTCTTTGCTGTCGACTTATATTTTTACTGAATTGAATACTAAATTCTCTAATTTTGAATTTAATTAATTCCCATTTACTGATATATCCTACAATTAAATGGTCAGCCATAATATCTTTTATAATTTTTTGACTATGTTGCAGTAATCTTCATTTTGTAAAAGTTTGGCATTGAACTTCCAAAAAGTTCTTTTATTTGATTGTCTAATTTCCAATTTGAAGCATAGTTCAATAAAGCAATGATCAGAAAGAGGTGCATTTGACATCACAGCATTTACAGTGTGGTTAAGAATGTTGCCACTTCCTAGCCAATAGTCTATTCTAGATTTGCAAGCTCCATTTGGTTTCAACCAGGAAAAACTTTTAATTGCCGGACTTCTTACTCTCCAAATATCTGTCAAATTGTTGTTTATCAAAAATTCTATAATTGGGTTATTTCTTTGTGGTCTACCTGTCCTTGAGGGCCATCTATCAGTCCATTCATCAGGAGTCATATTCCAATCACCATCCGTTAAAATATATTCTGTAGGGTATCGATCTTTAAGTTCAGAAATGTTTAAAGTTATATCTTCTAAAACATTTTTATTCTGACTTTCATTATTATATCCATAACCATCAGAACTATAGTAAAAATGGCAAACAATTATAGAGGACAATAAATGAACTCATGGGTAAAACAAATCAACATCGTTCATTGAAGTGGATGGGACATTCATAACTAAACCTTCTGAAATTGCAAGTTATTTTAATGATTATTATTATAACAAGGCGAGCGTAATTCAGGATGATTTGCCTCGAGGATGTGAACATTTAGCAACATCTATAATTAACAATAAAATAATGTTTGAGAAAGACTGCCATTTTCTGTTTAAACATGTAGAGGAGGATGAAACGGAAAAATTGTTGCTAAATATTAACAGTAACAAACTTTGTGGAATTGATAACAAGGATGGAAGACTTTTAAAGATTGTAGCTAAATTTTTAGTCAAGCCTCTATGTCGCATTTTTAATTAAAGTTTTGATGAATGTGGTAAATATGTGGAAAATCTCAAAAGTTCTACCTTTGTCTAAAAATACCAAATAACCGTTGACAGGGAAAAATAGTAGACCAATTAGTATCTTACCAGTTCTAGGTAAATTGATGGAAGGAGTAGTATTTAAACAAACTCAACATTATTTTCTTGTGAATAGTATTTGTTCTGATGTTCAGCATGCTTATAGAGAAGGCTATTCTACCAGCACAGCTCTGACTGCACTCACTGATGAATGGTTGAGACAAATTGATAGGACGCGATTGGTAGGAGCAGTTTTTCTGGATTTTAGTGCAGCTTTTGATCTTGTGGATCATGACCTTTTATTAATGAAATGATCAGCATATGGTTTTAAAAACTCTGCTATTAAGTTTATGTGGACTTACTTGTCCAATAGGAAACACTGTGTTGTATATAATGGTTGCCTATCGAACACTGTCGATCATTTGTGTGGGATTCCCCAAGGGGGTTGTTTGGGTCCTCTGTTATACAGTATTTTTGTCAATGACATGTCTTTGGCATGCGGTGAAGCGCATATGACTGTATATGCCGATGATACGACCATATGTGTTTCGGCTTCTAGTTTAGATCAGGTCAATGTTATGCTGCAGAAGGAACTAAGGTCCATTTCTGAGAGGGTGGTGGGGAACAGGCTAAAACTGAATGTGCTGAAAACCAAGTGTATGCTATTGGGCTCCAGGAACTCCATACAAGAACACCAGAAGCTGCACATTTCTTTGGAAGGACAACAAATTGAACAAGTAAAAGAGACCAAACCGTTGGGCATTAATATTAAATCAAACAATGTCATGGACTAAACATATTGACAAATTTGTGAATGAATAGGAACATTTCTGTAATTGGGCGCAATGTTCATTATATGCTGACAGAAACCAGAAAACTTGTTTCACAGTCATTGGTTTTGTGTCATCTGGATTACTGTCCAGTTGTCTGGTCCAGTGCAGCGAAAAAGGACTTGGATAGACTACAGAGAGCTCAGAATAGAGCTGCAAGGCTAGTTCTCGGTTGTCCTTATAGAGCCAATATCAACTGGATGCATCACAGGTTGTCCTGGATGAACGTAAATGACAGACTAGCCTGACTCTCTCTTTGCAGAAAACTTGGACATCACATGAACCTTTTAGTTTATTCACAAAGTTGCTACCGACATGTAAGAGACATGCTTTTAACACAATTAAGGAAAGCCTCCCAAGTAACCTTTACCCTTCCATTGCCAAAAACTAATGCCCTCAAGAGAACAGCCATCTACAGAGCTGTTTCATATTGGAATAACCCGCCTCCAGGAGTGGTATTAATAAATCATCACGGCAGATTCAAAAAAATTCTTAAGACTTTGGTCATACATAACAATTTAAAACTAAATGACTGATGTGGGTTTTTAATTAGTTTTCTATAGTTATAACTGGCCTGTTGATGGGGGGGGGGGGGGGGGGTAATATTTTCTTATTTGAATGATTTTTATCTTTGCTGAATTTTCTTATTAATGGATATGTTTGTTTGAATGTTTTGTATGTTCTTTTTCTTACACTGCATATGTACTATTGTAAATGTTTTTTAATGATGCGGACCCCTGGAAGAATAGTCCTCTCTATGGTGAAGACTAATGGGGATCCTTAAATAAATAAATAAATAAATCAACTCTGCATCAGTCGAGGTATTCCTTAAATGTGTAAGTCTCCCCGGAGTCTCCATGCTCCGGAGATCTCAGCACAAAATGTTACTGTTATATATCTTCATGTTTTTGGCACAGCAATATATTGGTTCTGTTTTGTTTTTGTGTCCACCCCTTTTCTCTCTTTCTGCAGGTCTAGAAGCAGATTCTTGTTCATCCTTTGTTGTTTATTTTTGTGACACCCCCCCCCCACAATCTTCCTTTCCTCGCTCCTCTTTCTCTGTAACTTCCGTCTCTGTGTCCATTTACTGAATACATTTCTAATAAAGTTTTGATATCAGGAGTGGCAGTATAGCTGAACTATGCTGCTCCACCTGTGAGAGTGAAAGTGTAAGGCTCGTCTTCAGCACTCCGACATGAATTCTGATTGCTTTACAGCCAGACAGGACACGGGGCCCAAAAGAAAGCTTCACACCCTTCGTAGAGGAGTCGGATAAATCTGTAATCAACCAAAACATGAGTTGATCATTTATTGATTGATCTTGATTTTAAATGTAAAAAATATTTTGTAGCTTATATATTTATACAAACAAATAAAAATGACATTACAAACATTTCAAAACTTTAGATTTATTGGGAATAACTCAGAAAAAATGACCCAATGGAAACCTTTCTAGAGTGAATTAAGTCACACAACCAACAGACTCGGGTTTAATATGAAAACTAAGCATTTACACATACAAATACAGAAAAGCCAGTTGAGCTTTTTAACCTCTTCGTGACACGGGTAAAGTTGTATCACTTCCTTTTTAGAGCTTTATGAAACATTTGCTCATGTTTTGGTCTCTGCCTTGGCTCAAGTCACACAACAGGTGCTGGTTGAATATCTATTTAGGAGACGTCGCTCGTCTCTGGTTTTGGCTCTAGGAAGGTCTCTCCAACAATGATTACGCTGTTCTCTCTCATTAAAGCCCTCCTAGCCGCAACAGAAACCTGCAGGATGAACTGAGACCAGCTCAGCCACATAAGATCACGATGGCGGGTTAGTCCAGCTGTTTTCTCACAGAAGTTTGTTTTTACATAATGTTGAAACTTTAGTCAATCAGCTATTCAATAGTAGCTGTCATGATTTTAATATCCAGGCGATCAACGTTTTTTGATCCAACCCTAAAACATGTAGAGCAACAACAGAATATCTAAGATCAGAATTCATATGATTATAATGGAGTCACAACAAGTAGATTCTTATTGGAAGATCCCCGGTGGATTCTGGAGACGACGATGAATTTCTTCTTACTCTGCTTTTGGTCTCTTTGTGTTTGCACCTAATGATGATCCAACTTCCACAGCCTTTAAGAACAGAACAAAAATAAATGAGGACTAGTCTACAGACTGGCTCTCAACATCAAAAAAGTAAGCATGGGTGCACAGTTACAACAGAAGGGTAAAGTTTAGAGAATGAATGATAATATTCCAGAAACTGTAATCATCCTTATGGGTCTGCTCTGATGAGTTAGATGTGATCAAATGTTTAGGAATCTCATCTCAGTTGTTTGCTTGAATGCTTTAATAAACCACTGCTAAGGGGAAAATGTTCAAAAATGTTACGATATTATGAAATTATATCATCACGTGTTTCTCCTCCAGCATCCTTAAATCTTCTGGTGCCCAGATCAATATAATGGGATTTATTGTGAATGACCAACACTGTAGCATACTGGTGGCCATTATGTACCAGAAAAAGCATTTAAGTTACCAACATCAGGTTTTTAACGGGGTTAAATACTGGTAGTGTTTACTCTGAACTAAACTTAAAAAAAATAAATACATAAAATAAAATACACAACAAGCCTCAGAAAATATTCTATAAAGGTATTTCTGCTAGAGTCCTTGACAAAAACTGTGATATTTAGTGTTGATTTTGTTTGATTTGACAGACTTTAAGCTCAAAACCACTGCGAGACGTTAAAGCGCCACTCTGCCTTGTCGTCTGCATCGATATGTATCTTCAACTGTGATTGGTCAGATGATGACATGTGACTAACACACTAGAACAAAGATAGATTGTGAATAAGATGAATCCCCCCTCCTTTCTCTGGTTCTCATAAAGACTGACTGAAACCCAACAGAGAACCAATCCCCCCCACGATTAATCTACACGATTAATGTGAACGCCATGCACATTTGGCTTCAAAAATGGCAATTTTCGCCGAAAAGCTACAAGTTTGCAAGTATAGAAGAGGATGTGAGCTGCTGATGGCATGGCAATGCACACTGGCCTTTGATGCCTGGCCTCTATCTTATGCCAGCTGGCAGGCCCATTTCTAAATGTACTCGGGGATTTTCTAGTTGTTTTTGTTTTCTACACGTAGAAGTTCAGTAAGAGAGTGAAACTGTGTTTTATTTACTTGTTACAGGCAGTGCTTTAAGTGGGTCGGTACTTCTTATTTAAACCTCTCTGCATACCGGGACTTTTTTTTCCAGGATACGATGAGTACTGGTAGATTTTCCAGTCATTCACTAGTCGAAATCTGCAAGATTTCTGAAAATGCATCAGCCTATCTCCAAGTAAATAGCAGCCATCCACAGTCCCCCCAGCGCTCTGTCCCAACCCTCCCGACCCTCCCGAACAGCCTCATTTCGTGGAAGCTGTTGCTGGCTATGGCGCGGTCACGCGCATAAACACTCCATACCAGCAGATTGTCTCCAAACACTCAGACTCTCCTCGATGAAGTCCAAATTAATTCATTTGGAAAAAGACGTCTCCTCTGCATCTGCTACTTGTAAGAGGAGGAGGACGTGATTATTGGTGTGCTTCACCTGCTGTTGCGCATGCTACCGCTGCCACGCCTGCTCTCTGCTACCCGGCAGATGCGCTTGACGCACCGCCACAGATTTTCTCAAAATGCGCAAAAGCAGCATCACTGCCATGAAGCATGCGGAGCATACAGCACCGTCAGCTCAGGCAAGAGGAGAGAAAATAAAGAGATGAGTTTTCTGGCACCATGCAAGTTCCCGCAATGATTGACAGCAAGCAGCACCTGAGCAACCAGTGGTCAGATGTGGAAGAGATGGCATCCAAACAGAAATATAGATCAGGAGCAAGCACAAGAAAGAAAAAGTCAGAACCAGCGGAGGAGTGTGCTGTTGTCATGAGACAGAAGAGAGAATTATTGTGTCTGGATGTGGACTGAAGATGGACTTTTACAGCAGCCCTGATTATCATTCATTAAATTCAATTCAGTTGATTTATACAGCGCCAGATCACAACAAGAGCCGTCTGAAGGCACTTCATAAAGTAAACGTTCCAATCAGTAAAAAGTTTGCTATATCCCAGCAGATTGTTAAGACTCTGTTACTAGTCAGTGACTCGATGCAATCTGCTGGGTTCCTAATATAGGAATATATATATATATAAATGAAGTGAATAGAGTTGTTTTTTCTCACTAAACTCTCCTACACTAAAGTCTGACACGTTTTACATGCTTGTTTGAATTAGCCATCAGAAAAATTCAAACCGTTTTTAAAGGTAGTGGCCAGACTCTGCATTAAAATAGTAGAAATGCAGCATAACTACACTTTACTATCTATATAAATATGAACTGGGTTCAGTTTTAATTTTAAGGAATTTTGTCATAAATCATTACAGAAAATCCAAATCCTCTCCTCCAGACAGCGAAGAACTGTGTTCTACTTACGTTACTCCAACACGTAAAACAAGGCAGCTGCTGTTGCTAGTATTGTGAATCACTGTTATTTGTTTACTGTCGTGCTCTTAATTATTATGGAAAATTGTGTTTACAGCTGCAGCAAAAGGTCTGAGCTATGTGTCAGTGTCCTACATGCAAGTTTTAAATAACAGGTCTGATCTAAAATAATAACCCACATCTTTAAATCCATCTAGAACCGCACCGCTACTTCTGGACTCTAGAGTCCCATTAGCATGACTGCAGCAACACTGCTAACCGTGTTAGCTCCGGTAAGGAAAAAACAAGTCATTTGGGAAAGCTACGAAACACACACACACACACACACACAGATATAACCTAAAAGATGATCTCCATATTTCAACAACAGATCCTCCGTGGACCGGTAGAACCTCCGTGCCATCCTGGATTAATGCAAACAATGAGCCAAGGTAATGAGTTACTCCAGCATCAGGAAGATTTATTCTGGTAAATTATCGATTAAATATTACTGGAATTATATCAACATATACATGCAGCGGTAAAACTGGCAGCACATTATTTTATTTATCTGTAGATAAATAATATTATATTGTATATTATATAGAATTATATTGGGACACATGATGGAGCTAAGACCAGCTGAGAACTCGCTAGCTTAGAGCTCCTGGTGGAGCACAGAAATGAAATATTTAAGAAAAGTAAACAAACTGTACGGATTTTGGTTCTGAAGATAAACAGAATCAGGTCGCGGGTTTTCTGAGTCAAACGGTCCAAAACATGTCTGCACCTCTGGTAGTGATATCCAGCTAGCGGGGTGGGAGTTCGGTTTAACTTCTCGGGTAATCCTTTATCCCAGAGAAAAAACAAATGTGACCGACTGTCACGAGTTGGTTCAGGAGGAAGTTAGGACCCAAGATGCAGAGAACCAGACGGACGAGACAGGGGTGGAAGATGAAATAAAATCCTTTATTTAGGGATAATCCAAAAGGCAGGGAGCCAAAAACAAAAATTAAAAATGACTAAATAAGAGATCCAAAAAAAACTAGAAGCTAGAGACACTAGAAACACTGGAGAGCAAACGAGACGAGTATGACAGAAACACAATGGACCGACAAACACATAGGGACACAGACAGGGTTATATACACTGGGGAGGATGAGAGGGAGATGAACTGCAGGTGTGTGGGGAGAGAGAGAGCAGGTGAACTAAATTACTAATCAGGGAGGAAACTAACGTGACCTAAGAATAAAACCTAAAGACAAGAAGAGCAGGAAACATAACGGAAGTTACGGTGTAACTATGGTTCTGTGAGTTCCTGGATGACTGCCAGTGGCAGTAAACAGAGTGGATGTATCTCCTCGCGCTCTGCGCAAGTTGAGTACTAATGTAAACAAAGTCACGCACGTGACACGTAGCGCACATGGTCGCGAGTCTATAAATTACGCGCCGATAGCTACGTTCGGGTCTCCCGGGATCTTCTCGCCCGAGAAGTTCCGAGTGACCCCTGTGACTGGCAGTCATCCAGGAACTCACAGAACCATAGTTACACCGTAACTTCCGTTCTGTTTCGTTCCCTCCTGACTGCCAGTGGTAGTAAACAGAGTGGATGACTAATGCCAGCAGTGTCACGAGGAACATTAAACTCACCGTCACTCAGGAGGTAGCCGCCAGAGGCAGCACCGCCGAAGCGAGTGTGGACCCGTGGCCAACGTTGAGGCGGTAGAAGCGTGCAAACGTGCACGGAGTTGCCCAGGACGCCGCAGCACAGACGTCCACCAGTGGCACACCTCTCATCGCCGCCCAGGATGTAGCAACACTCCTGGTGGAATGGCACACGATCCCAGGGGGAACCACTGCACCCACTGCCGCATAAGCCATAGCAATGGCATCCACGACCCAATGCGACAGCCTCTGCTTCGAAAGGGCCCGACCCCTGTTCACTCCTCCGTGACAGACAAACAGCTGGTTCGACTGCCGGACAGTGTTTGTGGCCACAATATAGAGCTGCAGTGCCTGGACCGAGCACAGCAAATTCGCCCGCCGTTGTTCCTCTGAAAGAAATGGGGGAGGGAAATACGCTCCCAGCTCGATTGCGGCATTCACGTAGCCAGAGGGCAGAACCTTGGGAAGAAAGGCAACATTGGGCCACAGCGTCACCCCAGACCCATCTGCCCTCCACCGCAGGCAGGCGGGGCTGATGTCCAGTGCGTGCAGCTCACCAACCCGTTTAGCCGACGTCACTGCCAAGAGAAAGGCGGTTTTCACAGACACCACTGCCAACGGGGCAGTAGTCATTGGCTCAAAGTGTGGCCCACACAGGGCCTGCAGGACCAGGGGAAGGCCCCAAGCAGGTGCCGGCCTGCACAAGGCAGGACGCAACCTTCTCACGCCCCACAGAAACTGGGTCACCAAACAGTGAGCCCCAATGCTCCTGCCATCCAGAGAGGGGTCGAGACTCGGTTTTTTAAGAAGCGGGTGGATTACAGCGTTCTTAAAGTAAGCAGGGACCTGACCCGAAACCAGAGAAGCATTAATTATAGAGAGCACGCTGGGACCGATGGACCGAAAAGCACTTTTAAACAAAGATGAGGGTAAGATGTCGAGGGGGCATGCAGAGGTCTTCATAGAGTTAACTAGTTTGGTTAACTCAGGCAAAGAAACAGGAGCAAAGCTATCTAGGATGATGGGCCTGGTTGGAGTCGGGAGAGGCGGCGATAAGGCTGAAGGAGAGATGCTAGATTTAACCTTATTGACTTTGTCCACAAAGAAAGACAGAAAGTTCTCACAGTCTGTAACAGAGTGGATGGAGGCTGTAGGAGAGGCAGGAGAGACGATGCTGCTGATGGTGTTAAACAGCACCTTGGGGTTCCCTTTGCTCTGGGACACCAGGTTGGAGAAATAGGAAACCCTGGCGTCTCTGACTGCAGAGTTAAAGGATGTCAGAAGATCCTTTAGGTGCAGCAGATGGACGTGGAGATGGGTTTTCTTCCACAAACTCAATTTTTCTGCATTGGTGCTTCAGGCTGCGAAGGCTGTCATTAAACCAGGGAGTAGTGTTCACTGCAGGAACTGATCTGGTACTGACAGGACAGATGTTGTCCAGAATGGAGAGGCAGTGCTCGATGAACTGAAAAGTTAAGGAATCTGGGTCGTTATCAGAAGAACAGGGTGGATCAAAAGCAGCAGAAAAATTGCTAGCTGTGCTCTCATTAAGAAAACGAGAACTAACCATACTGCGAGCAGGAGGTGGGGACGCAGAAACTGACAAGTTAAAGAAAATGCAATGGTAATCAGAACTATAAACATCCCCAGGACAAACACTGTCAGCATTTAGACCCAGGGTAAAAACAAGGTTCAGAGTGTGCCCCCTGGTGTGTGTGGGGCCAGAAACATGCTGGGTCCTGAAGGAGTCCATGAGGCTGGAGAAGCTCATGGAAAGGTGGTCTGAGGGATCATCAACGTTGATGTTAAAATCACCAACAATCACTAGTCTGGACAGCAAGAAGGTTTGACCTAGACTGAAACTGCTTAGGAATGAGAATCAAAGCTGCATTATAGGTACTGGAAATAGATTTAACCTTTCCAGTACCTATAACGTAGCTTTGAATCTAATTCCTAAGCAGTTTCAGCCTAGGTCACACCCTTCTGCATCTAATCAACACGACTCCCTCTCAATAGAGGCCAACGACTCATCAGGATATGGAGAGGCGGGGTACCCAGAGTAGTTTCGGATCGTTAAATAACAACAGACAGCTAAAGCTTTTAAGCTTGACTCTCCCATATTCCAGTCAGAATTGACAAAGCTCCTCGGATGAGAAGCGAAAGGTCTTCAAGAAACCAAAAGTCCAGTTGTCTTCATTTGAACCCTTTGGATGGGTGTTTCAACCACACCAGTCACGTACTTTGAGATTTATCAGCTTGTAAAAGTTTGCCGTTAGCATGACTACAAATCAGACATTGGCACATTGCAGTGTATGAAATGTGTTATATAAATAAAGCTGCCTTGCCTTATTAAAGTGAGCCCTGTTCCGTTGCTGGAGATGTCTCACTATCCTTCATTCACCCATGGTGCTGAGAGATGGCATTTGCAGCAAAGACAAATGGCCACAGCCATCAATATTGGCTCCAGCGGCGCTTTGTAAGGGAAAAGAAAACCAAAATGTGCAGCCCTGTCAGCTTAACATATGGGCTCAGCTCCGGTGGGGGGGGTGGGGGGGTGGGGGGGGCTTGGGGAGAAAATTATGACACGTCTCTAAAACCCTTTTCAGATAGACATTCTGGAATATGTGTGGACAATTCAATCTGGTTTGTAACCAGAACTGTTTTCTCAGACACTTAGTAAAGTAAAGTTTTCCAGTGCAGAGAGGAGACAACCAATAGAAGCACTGATTTGATCTCATTTCAGAGAAAAATAGAACAGGTCAGATGCACCTAATAAATAAAATTACTAACAAACTCAGGAATCTTTCTTTGCTTCACTGTTCTGGTGCTGAAAACATCACTAATGCGGATCAAAGGAGATATACAGATGAATGCACCTCTTATTTATTATTTGGAGACTACATTTACTGCAGCTGGCAGAGGCAGAGATTTTTTCTATTGATACACGGATTTACAGAATCATTTTAAATGTTAATAGGGGAAGACTGCAGGAGGGAGCGGTAAAATACAGGGGGCCCCCAGCAAAAACAAGAAACTTTACGAGTCTGATGAAACCCGCTGGTTTTCCATCAGGCAGTGCTGGGTCAATGTTATCGAGCCCAGTCCGGCTCGGCCGTGAACGAGCCGAGGCGATGTCGTGCTCTGCTTAAGAAGAAGTGTTATTTTTCCGCTTCAGAAGAAGCGTCCAACGTGTTTTTACGCTTTCTCCGAGACATGTCACGTCGCTAAGTTGTTAGCGCCGTGCGCTAACACGTCAATAGTGCAGCGTAGCCTGCTGGAGGTTTTAAGGGTTCAGATGAAACACCCGACCTCTCAGGCTGCTCACGCATCGATCTTAAGTTGTCGCTGTTGCGCTCACGCCGTAATACAGTATTAGATGCGGTTAAAGTCAGACATGAAAAAATAAATTTTACATGAATAAGTGATGATTAGCCTGGTGGGGGGAGGAAACCCTTTCAAGATCGTCAACACTCGTTTATCTTAATGCTATTGAAACATGTCAACCAAAAAGCATTATATCCACTGCTACCTTTCTAATTTTAAACTCAGTAACTTATGCTGTAACTTCACCTTGCCCTGCCTGCCCCTCCTTGCTGCCGCCGGCTGTGATCACAAGCGACAACATAGTAGTTCCCGCTGCTTCTTCGGGAAACAGCGCAATAAATAAAAAAACAACAAAAAAAAAACTTGGGATCTTGTAGACGTGGAGGTGGGATTTCAGCCGTGGCGGCCCGCCACGGCTACGCCTATGTAAGGGAAACCCTGAATGGGGTATAGGGGTAGTCTCTGCTCTGCCGCGAACTTCAGTTCATCTTGGACATGAATTGCTTTTTATTGCGATCAAATCCGCACTTATTACGTTTGTTTTAACGAGCCGCTCCTAAAGGTGTCTGTCCTCAACTGTCCCCGTGCAGTCTCTGAAAGAAGCTGATTTTGTTTTTCAAAAAGCAAAACCTGTAAAACTCTAGTCTGTTTTGTCCGTGACTCACTTGGCTTCTCTTTCTGGTGACCATGAAGAACTCTCCCAGCCGGGTCTGCCGGTGACACCCTGCTGCATTCTGCTGCTCCCTCTTCTCCCGCCGACTTTCTCGGCTTTCACGAAACATTTTCATACGATGGCGGATTCGCCCCTCCCTGTCACACACGCACACGCACACGTGCGTGCACACACAAACACACTTGGGTTAATAACTGATGGAGTTAGAGGTCAGAAGAACGGCAGAGCCATGCTGACCTGTGGTGTTTGAGGTGACAGAGGATCTTCACCAGGGCCTCCTCGTCTGGTTCCATCCAGGTTAGTTCAGGGACCTGGGTTTGTGGGGCCTCCAGGAAAACGTTCCTGGCTTCTTGGTATTTCCAGGATTCTGGTACAGGATGGGTCTGAGGACACATATTCATCTGATTCCTACATTTATCTCTGTTCTTTTATAAGGTGTAGAAACTCTGTCCAATACCTCTCTATTGATGTTCAGAACCACATTCTCAATGGTGCGGTGCGTCTGGATCAGAGTCAAAGCTCTTTTAGGACCCAAACCACGTAACTTGTCACAGTAGTCACAGCCCAACAGGATACAGAGGTCAACAAGCTAAAACAAAACAAGAGGAGGAGGGGTAAAAGTTTGTTTGTGAAGATTGTGACCGAATGGTCGAATGATCTGAGAGACAAACTTCTGCAGTCTTACCTCCTTCTGACTAATGTGGAGTTCCTCCAACAGCTTTGCTAACGAGTATTCAACAACAGCACTGAGAAAACAAACAGAGTCATCAGATCAGACTAGACAGGAAGCCCTTTTACAGATATGGTATTAAAATGTGGCCTCAGACTCTCCAGATCCAGATCCAGGATCTATCATCACACAAGACCTTGGTAACTCTGTCTGGCAGCAAACACCAGCCACCAGCATGAGTTTTGATAATCATCGGCTCTGCATAAACAACCAGTGTTTCCCCTACATTTGCTTTATCGTGGCAACGCTGGAATTCCAGCATGTTCCACATGTGTGATCCCGGAAAAGGCGGAATAAGAGCAGAATAAAGAGAGAGAGGTGAAGAAGGTCATACAAAAGCCAGCTTGAACAAGTGAGTCTTCAGCTGCTTTTTAAAGGAGACCACTGAGTCCACTGATCTCAGGCTCAGGGGGAGAGAGGTCCAGAGTCTGGGGGCCACAGCAGCAGATGATCTGTCACCTTTGGTCTTTAGCCTGGTGCTGCACAACCAGTAGGCTTTGGTCACTGGACCTCAGGGACCTGCTGGGGGTGTAGGGACTAAGAAGATCACCAATGTAAGATGGTGCTTGTCCATGTAAGGCCCTATAGACCAGAACCAGGATCTTGAAATGAACCCTGAAGTTGACTGGCAGCCAGTGAAGCTGGAGGAGAAGCGGGGTGATGTGGGTGTGTTTGGAGGACTTGGTCAGAAGCCGAGCACAGGCGTTCTGAACCACCTGTAGACGGTTCAGGGAGGTTCTGCTCAGACACGTGAAAAGAGAGTTACAGTAGTCTAAGCGTGAGGAGATGAAGGTGTGGAGGACTGTCTCAAGTTCAGAGTGGGACAGAATGGGACTCAGCGAAAGAATGAGTACATTTTAATGTATGACTAAAACCAGTGTAAGAACATTAAACGTCGTATTTAAGTGTCCAGAAGTGTGTGCTCACCTGTTCCTCTTAGCATTCAGCTGACGAATAAGAACTTTAGCCCCAAAGGGTAGAGTGTCCATGTCCTCTGACGCCACTGCATCCACCACCCCGTTTGCCACCAGCCGGGCACACATGGCCTCGGCATCGCCTGGAGCCTAAGAAAAACTCCTGTGCATGAAGGTGGGGAGGAATAGCAACAGGTGAAGCTGCATATGCATTCATATAAAACGTTCTACCTGGATGACAGGTACACCCAGGTACTTCAGGAGCTCCACACAATCCCTGGTCTGGGTTGATGCTGTAGGGAAAAAACAAACAAATGATAATGCAGAACCTAAACCTGTGTCTGCATCTTCTTACCCGTGTGTGTGTGTGTGTGTGTGTGTGTGTGTGTGTGTGTGTGTGTGTGTGTGTGTGTGTGTGTGTGTGTGTGTGTGTGTGTGTGTGTGTGTGTGTGTGAGACTGTACCTGTGTGTGTACCTCTGCAAAAACCTGTACATGTACTTGTGTGTGTACCTGTTTGTGCATCTCTGCCTGTCCTGTACCTGCTGTAACGTGATGAAGGAGCTATTCCTCCAAGGTATTTAACTTTTTCCATGGTTGCCTTTGACACGGCGCCAGAGTGCATGAAACAGCCTCAAGGTCATGCATTCGCTTCTAAACTGTTTACTTTCCAGCAATGAAGACAGAAGATGAAGACTCCTTTCTTTTCTTTGTTAAATCAAAGAACTCTATTTTCAATAAAGCTAATCAAAACAACTGTTAGTCAATAATACAATGTGTCCGATCTGTGAAATAACAATATTATTATTAGTATGTTATAATAAGTAAATGACTTATTCTAGTCACTAGACACGCTGATACACTAAGGGAAATAATCACACGACACATTGCTGTACTGATCCAATCAGAACCTTCCTAGTCTGAAGCGTGGCAGAGTCTCCGTGGTGTTTATAAATCTGTCAGCTTTGATTCGTCCAGAATCAAAAACATCCAGATTAATTAAACAGTCCAACGCCATCTTAAGTTCAGTTCTCAAGATCTCGTTCTCAAGATCCCATGAAGTTCACCGCATGTTAAGTGAAGTATGGACAGGCCATCTATGCTTCTCTTTTTAAGCTAAGAACTATCAAGCTGGGAAAATACCGTTGTTACCAACCAAGCAACAGTACCTTTCAGAATAAAAGCTGAACTCGCTGACCCAAGGAGGGTCCCCTTTTGACGCCGTGAAACACCTGTCGCTTTTTACCTGGAGACTATCCAAAGACTGGGTTGTCGTACTGTCGACGCTGTTTCATCGGCTCCAGTACCAAAGGAGGGTCGTGGACCTGGCATCCAGATCTGTACGGAGGTCTCACTGAGGCTATGTGGATGCGACACAAATGGCGTCTCATGTGTTTATGACTACGAGTCTCAAACTCTGATCAGTTAGGAGCAAAACATCATCTCCCACTCAGACTTTGCTTCTCCGGATGTGAAGGTTCTGAACTTGACATCATTCACCTCACACTTCATTCCAACAGAACATCCATCATTAGAGTTAGTCTTGTTACATTGTTTAAAATTATTTAGTAATAAATTTCCTTAAACGTTTTAAAGCTCTCTCTCTTCTCTAGTCTCTCAGTTAATACAAAGTGTTATTAGAAAATCCCTGCATTTAAATAACCCAGTGTCCAAAAGATGGATTTCATACTCGATATGAAATTTTATGTCTTATGGTCCTTAAAGAGCAAGTCACTCCAAATCAACATTTTTTTGCTTATAAACTATATAAATGAGTGTCTGATCGTGCTGTAGACACGTGTAGTCAATAATTTGGCATTTTAGTGCATCTTAGTTCAAATTAAAACTTTCTGCCTAAAACTGTCAATGACGCACCGTCGTCAGGCAAAAACTCTGCACTGCATTTGAATTAAAATCTGCCATCGCTATTGGCTAAGAGGTACACTATGATGTTACATGGTATATTATGATGTCACAATGTTGTGAGTGTGTGTATTTGTTAGAGGCTCCGCCCTCTCGGTCTGCTAGGCAACAGCATTTGTTGCATTTTTCAAACAGGAAGTGGGATTTGAGTAAGAATCTGGTAGGGGGTGACTTGCTCTTTAATTAAATGTAATTAACATCTTCATTACACTGCATACCTGCATTTGTAACTGTAGCTTCTAACCCATTGACGCTACTGGTTGCTCATGATCAGTTTTGTTTCTTACATGCGCTCAAAGAAGTCTCGACGTGTCCACCTTGGTTTCCAACAGTCCTTTCATTATCATCATCATTCTTTCTTCTCTTTTGGTATATTTCCACTCAGTTTAAAGACAACACATAACTCCAGTGAAACAGTAGAAAACTGTTTGACTCCCCCTCATCAGCAACACCTGACCTGAATTACAACTGCCCTTATATAGTACCCTAGCGGCAATTAAAAGAAAAACAAAGAACTAAAACAAACATGACTCCTACACACCGGCCCCTAATTGCATGTGACGGGAAGGCATAGCAATTAATAAACATTAATACAAGGAGTCAAAATTCGAATGTTAACACATTAACTGCATGGCTGAAGAAAAACCTCTAGGGGCTAAACCAAGGCTCACACCTATGCACAAACCAGTGCCTGGTTAGCATGTAGCTTCACAGAATATGTATACTTTGGTAATAGGTCTTTCTATCACACTTGTTTTCATTTGAAGCCAGACCTTTCTCATCCGGGAATGTTCTTATGATTCTTCCAAGTGTCCAAGAACTCCTAGGAGTTGTGGAGTCCATAATCATGACAATGTTTCCCGGCTCAAAACATCTTTTCTTTTTGATCAATTTTTGTCGCTCCTGTAGCGTTGGCAAGTATTCGCGAATCCAATTTTTCCAAAAGAGATCTGAAAGGTATTGGATTTGTTTCCATCTTCTATTGGCGTAGAGATCGGTTTTGTCGAAAAGTCCAGATGGAGGGATTGGTTTTCCCTTCAGAAGGAGCAAGTGGTTGGGTTTTAATGCTTCAAGGTCATTGGGAACCTCAGACAGTTTTGTAATGGGACGATCGTTCAGTATAGCCTCAGCCTCACACAGAACTGTATGGAGTCCTCCATCATCCAACATTTGTTGACAGAGCACAAAACCTTCCTGATCATTTGAATGCGGCGCTCCCAAACACCACCAAAATGTGATCCAGAAGGTGGGTTGAAATGTCATTTGATCCCCCTTTGTGACATGGCCTTTTCATTGTTTTGCTTTTTAAAGAGGCTAGTGCTTGTCGTAGCTCTTTCTGCTCCCACAAAATTAGTGCCATTGTCAGATCTCATGCTTGCAACTAGTCCTCTTCCTGAGACGAATCTTTGCAGCGCATTAATGCAGGAGTCTGTGTCCAAAAAGTATGCAACCTCAAGGTGTATGGCCCTGCTCGTCAGGCAAGTGAAGATTACTCCGAATCGTTTTACGATGCTTTGTCCTCTTTTTACATTAATCGGTCAAAAATAATCTACTTTGACATTTGTAAACAGTGGTAGATCAGGAACCACTCTTTCCTCTGGCAGATCTGTTGTTGACCGGGTTTTGCTCCGTGCCTTTTGCAAAATAAACATTGTGCTATGACCCTTTTTGTAGCTAAAACACCATTCGTTATCCAGAACTTTCATCTTACTGTTGAAAGAACATGACTTCTTCCTCCATGCCCTAGCTGCAGGTGGTAATGATGAAGGATAAGCTTAGATATGTACTGATCTTTAGACAAAATAAGTGGATGCTTCAGGGGGCTCCCACTTGCCCTTCATTATGGACAATCTATGATGAGCACAGAAGTCCAATAAAAAACACTACTTGAATTCTGATCAGGGGGCAATTCCTCCCCACCACACCTCACCAGGTCCCACCATCATTACCCATGTGAGTGTTAAAGTCCCCCAGCAGAACGAGGAAGTCACCAGAGGAAGCGTTCTCCAGCACCTTCTCCAAGGACTCCAAAAAGGGTGAGTAGTCTGAACTGTAGTTTGGTGCATAAGCACAGACAAGTCAGGACCCGTCCCCCCACACAGACACAGGGAGGCTACCCTCTCGTTGATCAGGGTAAACACCAACATACAGGCACCAAGATGGGGAAATCTGCAGAGGTAACACTTTGCAACGGTTTTCTGTAATCGATTCAACACACAACAGAAGAGTGAACACTCTGTCATAGTTTGCATATGCTCAAATAACTCTCGTTACGCTGTTTTCATCACCAACTCCCAACAATTTATTTAGTCTCAGAGTCTTTTATAGTCACTCAGAGGCAAGGGTACAGGTGAAACATATTGGTGTAATCACGTCTGACCAATCCGCTCTTTGACAGGAAGTCACATCCGAACTTCTACATCCTCAAAATGAAAGCCTGACAATGAGAGCATATAATATTTTACATAGCTCAACAACTAGTATGACCATTCCTGCTCGGCGCCTCTCAGTCGGGGCAACTCCGGAGTGGTAGAGTGTTTAGCCCTCTCAATAAAAATGGTTCCGGAGCCAGAGCCATGCGTCAAGCGGAGTCTACCTATATCTAGTCAGAACCTCTCAACCTCGTACACCAACTCCTTCCCTACCAGAGAGGTGACATTCCACCTACCGAGAGCCAGCTTCTGTATCCGAGGATCAGACCGCCAAGGTCCCCACCTTTAGCCCCCACCCATCACACATTGCACCCAACCCCTTTGGCCCCTTTCACAAGTGGTGAGCCCATGGGAAGGGAGACCCACGTTTCCTCTTCAGGCTGTGCCCGGCCGGGCTCCATGGGTGAAACCCCGGCCACCAGGCACTAGCCGATGTGCCCCGACTCCAGGCCTGGCTCCAGAGGGGTACCCCGGTGACCTTCGTCCGAGCAAGGGAACACGGTTTCCATTTGTATTATTCATCATAAGGGGTCTATGGGCTGCACTTTGTCTGATCCCTCAACTTGGACCTGTTTGCCATGGGTGACCCTACCAGAGGCATAAAGCCTCAGACAACTTAGCTCATTTGATCATTGGGACACTCAAACCCCTCCACCACAATAAGGTGGCAGCCCAGGGAGGGGCTACCACATTCCACTGTCTGCATTCCACTATAATCGATTATGGAGCGCTTCTTCTATTATTCAGAATAATTTACGTCAGCATCTTGATGCATCAATTGTTTTCTTCTGCTCTAATGTGTACCTGTGCGTGTGCCTGTGCCAGTCGGATTGAAGTTGCTCCAACCAGCTGCCTCGGCTCTCCTCTTCAGCTGCAGGAACAGATATAATCAAACATCTCCTGTATTTGACTGTCTGCTACCAGGTTTAGACATGTCTCTCTGACCAAAACATGTCCTGGAAGCCATACCAGGTACCAAAGGGAATCAGTGCATGTCTGTCCGGTGTATGTCTCTTACCACAGCTGACTTTTCCACCGGAGGCCTTCCATCTAAAACAAATACTGGCTTTATGCCGTGTTCCAAGAAGGTGAGCGTACGGAAGAACAGACCTGTCAGAGGGCTAGAGACAAAATCAGTCAGTCTCTAATTCTCAGAGACGATCCCCATGTTTCACACACCAGTCAAACAAAAGCATCATGGGTGACATCAAGGTCTCACCTGAGTGTGGGTGTTGCTGCTCGGAACTGGTTCACAACCACAGAGGTGTCCAGAGCGATGACTTTACCTGTGGACAAACACACCTGCTGCATTATGAACGATAAAACTTCAACAATTTACCTTCACAAACTACAGCTGCTCTTCCCCTGGACGTCAGACCTTTTTAGTCAACATCAAACACACATTTTACACACTAAAACTAGTTCAAATGTAAAAGCATCCTTACCATGACTCAGTAATTTGGTAAAACCAGTGACTCTCATTAGTCATCTACTGTCTGACGCCGGGGACACACTGGCCGCGGAAGCGCCGCGAAAATGGGACCGCCTTCATTCGGCGCCCTTGTTAAGCTATTCTATAGACCACATGGGCCGCCGAAGCGCCGCGAATCGCCTCGCGCCGGCGCTCCAGCCCGCGCCGTGCAGCGATCATTTCGGCGTCGGCTCTATTTTTTTCGCGAGCCGCGGGTGAATCGCGTCAATTCTGGCAGGAAGTCAAACGTAGACATAAGAGGCAGGCCGGTAAAGTTAACAAAATAAAGCATTTCAAAATAAAATTCCACAATAGTCAAATGTGTTCGTAAACAGACACTGCAGAAAAACCACACGAACACGCACACACATACACACACATCGAACTTGTGTGCGTGTGTGACCGCGTGAAGGGGGGAGTGGTTTTGGGTGTCTTCACCGGAGCAAACAGGACAGAGAGGCAGAAAGTCTGAGGCAAGCAGTTAAGATGGATGACTTTAAATTAAGGAAGTTGAGAAACACAAGGAGGAGCTGTACGACCCCCGAAAAACATGGCTATTTACTTACCCATTTCGGAAGAAACTGCTCGGATACAGCTGCAGAATTGGAGCGGGTTCCAAGAGATTCAACTCGCAGAAACAACTCATACCATAGGTTCACACACACACACACACACACACACACACACACGCACGCACGCGCGCGCGTACAAACACTCAAACGTAGAGGAAAAGAGCTGAGAAAAGGCAGAGAGGAAATGGAGGACACCAAGTGTTTAAAAGAAAAACTACAGCTGAGCCGAGGCGCGCCTCGACTGGGGCGCGTCTGATCTGAACTGAGGAGCGGCGAGCAGCGGCCGAATTTCGTGAGCGATTCGCTTCTCGGCGCTTCCGCGGCCGGTGTGTCCCCGGCGTGACCTTTACAGGCTCTCGCATCATTGAAGAGTTTTGGCTCATTCCTCTTTACGATGTGGCCTCAGTTTTTCTAGGTTTTGTGGTCATTTGTGTCTGCTCAGCGGTTTTGAGGTCCTACCAAAGCACTTACATTTTTTATTTTACATCTTGCAAAACTTAATTGTTTTCTTTTTCAGTCATTCTGTTATAGATCTGCTTCTGTGTTTGGGACAAGGTCTCACTTAACACCGCTAATGCAAAACTAAAGTTTCCAAATGAAAAGGTTTAACCAAGGGCGTAGGAACAAGGAGAATATTGGGGTGCACACAGGTGTGGTGCTCATGTGGAGGCTGACGTATCTGCTGACAGTGTTTGGTGCCCTACGTACACACATTAAGTGATGCACGTGGGCGGAGCACCGGTGCTGGAAGGGACGCATCATGGAAACCTGACCAATCTGTTAATGCTTTTAACAAAACTATGTCCTAAATAAACAACACTGCAGAACAATCACAAATATATTTTACTCTACAATAATTGTGCAATTGTAAAGGGAAAAGAAAAACCTTTGAATCCGTTCAATTATTTGAGAATCATGGGGTTTTTTTGTTTAGCGTCCAACAAATGGCAAACAAATGGCAAAAAGAACATTATCCTAGGTAAAACCGCAGAAGATGATTTCCTCCTGTCACTTGCAGCCACAAATTCACTTCTTGTTCAGTAAAAAACAGAAACAGCAACATGGTTAGGTCTGGTTTTATTTTATTTATTTATTTATCTCAAACCATCGAAAACATGAAATTGCATATGCACTCCCCCATATTCCTGGTGCATACAAAAATTTTTTTTTTATATGAGGAATACGATAAACATATGCTGTTGAATGAAACAATACAAAACATACAATAACATAAAACCATTTGAGAGGGAACTGGAAGAAGCAAAAGCTTATCTAGTCCAGCCCCAATTCAGTTAATAAATCACATTTGCTCACATTAACAAATTTGAAAGAAAAAAAACTTTCCTTTATGCAGGTCGTTCTACCTTCACCTTGCTAGTTGCTACATAAAAAGACAGTTACAAAACAATTGTTCACATGAATCTACAGAAAAAGAAAACAAAACCAATAAACAACAAAAACAAAATATTCCATTTGAAGCCAATTACCGTTTTTATCACTTGCTATTTATGTATGAGTCAATTATAAGTTGTTTATACAACATTTGAGTCATTAACAAAACTAGCATTAGCACCTTAGCACTACTGTACTATCAACTTAGCTAACTATTAGCAAACTATAATAATGGCCAGATAACAAATATCCCAACCACTTTTGAAACATTGCATACAAAAGATTCTTTGGTCACTAGAAAATAGCTTCAAACTAAACTGTTTGTTTATAAGTGTTGGTGGTATGGCAGCTAGCATAGCTGCATTCGACACAGTAGCCTTTTCCGGGTTTGGTTCCTCGACAACCTAGACCAGTGGTCCTCAATAGGCAGCTCGCGGGTGGCCCCCGACATTTTTCTATTGTTACTAATCTATGGGAACATCCAACCAAACCCCGGGCTAGCCTCTAGTTCTCCAGTTTGCAAACCCTATTGACATGTTTTTACGTTCCCCCTCTACTGACACCTCCTTACTAACTGTCACTACTTTAGCTTCCCCCCTCTACTGTCACCTCTTTAGCTTCTGGCATGAAGACAATGACCTTTGACTGCTTCTGAAGTCGAAAAGCTTTGTTGTTGTTGTTGTTTTTTTCATTTAAACATTCAAAGCCTTCTCTCCAAGATAGATGAACTTAAAGTTTATGTTCAGACAGCTAAACCTGATGTTTCAGTCATTTCAGAGACCTGGCTCAAGAAGTCAGTACCTGACTCTGCCGTGTTCGTGTTTATAGTGTATTTTGTCAGGATAGACCAACCAAGGGTGAGGGGATTATTATTTACTGTAAGGAAAGTTTGCAACGTTCAGTCCGCGGGCAGCAGAGGACATTGTCGCCCTCCGGTATCCACGTCTCCTTATCTCTATGGCTTCCTTAATCCATCTTTTGTATTTCTGTTGTTCGGTGGTTATGATGCTTGTGTTGTCCCAGTCCATTATGTGGTTTTCTGATGGTCAATACAGGACCATGAACAAGGACAATGGGGTTTACACATTGGATACCATACCATACCAATTTATTTATAAAGCACCATTTCAAAATAGCATGCCAGCTAACCAAAGTGCTGTACATAAAGAGCCAAATGCTTGAACAAATCAACAAAACACAATGAAAGCATGAAAATCAGATAAGATACATAAAAACATAGCATAAATAATCAAGGATAAAAATTCCTAGTAAAAACAATAGAATAAGAGAACAGTTAGCAGCACTATCAAAATAAATATAATGCGACGAATGATAAAAACCATTTGAAATAGCACAAATAAAACCAAAAAAGCTACAAGATGGTGCGAGGTGTTAAAAGTGAGCTACTGATTTATAAAAACTAAATTAAGAAAAATAAATCTGCTTGTGTATGGGACTGTGTCATAGGTGAGGGGAGAGTGGGCAGCAGAGGGCGACAACGTCCTCTGCTGGGCGCAGATAAAACGAGAAGGAAGTGACACCACCATCAGCGTCAGCTCTGAGGAAGTTTTGCAGTCTGCAAACGAAACGTCAGCAAGGTAAAAAAAAATCTTTTCTGTGTTTTAAAAAGAACAAAAAATGCAGTTAGAAACCAGACAGAGCAAGAACATACCAAAGATATTTACATCACTGTTATGCATTATTCAGTACAACCTGTCTAACAGTGTACTTATTACTTAAATGTAAATGTGTACATCCCTATAAAACATCTGCTTAATAAATGCTCTGAAACATTAACTGATATTTCTTTTTTTTGCCTGTTCTGTATATTTAATACTTGTTCAGTTTATTGGTATTGTTTTATTCATCTTGTTATAATGTTTGATTTTACCACTGAGCAGTGCGCAAAATTAAGTTTCAACAGTTGGTTAAATTCAGTGTTAAAAACAGATTAGTTTCAGAAATATTGTGCATCCACAGCTGTTATTAGTGATAAATAAGCAATCTGATAAGGTGTCAAATCAGCAGCACTTATCTGCCATAGGCTGACCACGACCACCTCATATCGGTATCTGCAATAGAAAATCCCATATCTGTTGACCTCAACTCTCACGGCAACATCTTGGACCCTTCCCCAAGTGTGCAAATGGCCTTGTTCAAGATGAGCAGATCCTCGCCTGGAAAACAGACGAGAGCAGATGGAAGCAGCAGGGGGAGTGGCTAAAAGCCGGCGTTTAAGTCGGACGGACTTCTCTACATGTAGCTTGAGGGTAACGATGGCTGAAGATATCGCGTTAGCGTTCATAATAGTGTAAATTGATGAAGCCTGTTAGCAACTGAAACACATCCTCACATGCTTGTGGATATCATATTGTAGACATGGTCATATAAAGATATGACTGTAATATTACGTAAAGGTTATCAGCTGTAATTGTAGTGTCCTTATAGAAAACAAATCACATTTCTCTTTAGGGCCGATGTAGTTGTCGTCATCAGCGTAACATGATTTACAGAATACATGTGACCAACTAACATTTCCCATTCTACCACTGGTCGCTTGGATCAAAATGTGAACCAATCAGATCTTAGATCAGGGGATGCTGGTCGCTGTAATACTTTAAAAACCTTTATTAACAACTTTCACACAAACAACCAAACAGTTGTTTTAAATAAATTTAAATTAATTGCTGCAGACTCAAACGTTCAGAGCATCAACTAATCGTCCTAAAACAAACTAATTTCCTTAGAAAATACATATTTTCAGAAAAGGAACACAAGCCTTTTCTCCCGCAGCAATGGACTGTGGGTAATACACTTCACGCAAGTCCGCATGAAAGTGCGGATCAAGGGTGCAAAAGGGGCGTGATCAACTTCCGCACTTGAGAATAGGGACACCACTCGCACCCCTGGTTGGAATTGCGTAATTGAAGGGCGCAAGGGTGGAAGTGCGAGTATTGGGATTGGGCCCATCAAACCACAGACGTATATATTGACAAACCCTCTGTTGGCCGCTCGGGCGCAGGAAATGCAGTCGCCGTCCTAGATGGGTCGAGCTTCCAGCAGAAACTAACCAAAACAGCAGCAGTGAACAAGATGCCTGAGCTCTGTGCGGATTATTCCTGCTCTAATCGGCAGACTATTGAGATCATAACTCATGGGATTTTTAATGAGGAACTTTATTTCATTCAAATATATATATACACAATTATAAAAACAGATAACACAACCAAGAATGAAAAAGCAGCAGAATTAAGAGATACCTCTTATAGGTCTCTGTCCCTTTTTTAAATAATAAAAATTTACATTAAATAAAATAAACTTACTTTTAACAAGTTTGAGCATGTTTGGTGTTTGTATTTAGTAAATATAACTTGGCTGTACTGTATGGGTGTGTCCGAATCCACGGGAAGGATGCTTGTAAGCAGTGTTGGGAACGTTACTTTAAAAAAGTAATTATAGTTACTGATTACTTTGTCAAAAAAGTAACTGTTACTAACTGAGTTACAAGATTATAAAAGTAACTAATTACCACAAAAAATAACTACTTAGTTACTTTTTTCATTAAAGCATGCAAGAATTACTACAATAGTGAAATATAAATGACTATGGACTGGAACATAATAAAATGTATGTCCAAATGTTTTATATAAACCTGAATAATTTAAATAAATAAGCACTTAACAGGAAGAACTACTAACAGGAACATTACACTAATCTAGACTATTAAAAGGTCACTGTGTGATATTTAACAAGACCCCAATCTGCTAACATTTAAAATTGCAAATAGAAACACCTGTAAAGGTTCCCGAGCCTTTATATGGTCTCTCAGTCTAGTTAAATTACAGAAATAAATGTAATTTTGCACAGTATTTTAATTTTTCCAGCTTCACATAATTGTGTGTTTTTAGCATTTCTGTTGCTGGTAATCTAGTCATGGTTAAATAAATAAATAAAATGACACTAGAAGAGGCACAAGCCTGATGGAGGACTTACATTTACTAACTTGGGTCAGACCCAACCACAGAAGAGCTGAAGCTGGGTGGTGAACACACACAGGTAGTTCTGATAACACCTGAGCTCCATGACGTCTGAGACTGATGCATCAGTGTTACAGCGGGACTAAAGACATGATCAGGAACAGGTTACAGCTGGATGATCTAGGAAGGTAGAAGATCAGGACGTCTGAGCGGTGAACAGGTGAGCGGACCTTCGGGACGTCCTGCTGTCACGCTAAGAAGAGCACGGCTGCAGCTGATGGAGGTTCTCAGTCATCGAAGGATGGCTGAAGGCTTTCCAGGAACAGGAGATGTGGTGTTGTCTCTTCTCTCTCTATTCTGCCAGACGAGCTGATAGGTTACAGGTGTGTGAGGACGTCCTCATGCTGTCATAACCAGATGACAGGAGTTATCAGGTGATCAGCCAGGCTAATGATGAGATGCAGAAAGAAAACAAATCCAGGACAGTGTACAGTAATAATAATAATATGTGGTGTTGCTCACCTTATGTGCTCTTATAGAATATTAATGTGTGCCTGCCTCATGGTGTAGAGTCTATATTTTGCTGAGTGTCCTGCAATAATGCAGGTTATTAGTTAATTTACTTTTGATATCAAAAACAAAATATTTAATGTAAAAGTTATTTACCAGGTGAATCAGCTCACACGTCACCACCAAGTGTCACAGGGCCAGAATCAGTAGCCTCCGTCATGATGTAATCACATACTTATTTAATTGTTAATATCTTAAAAATTCTGAAATGTTTTAATTTTTTTTACCTTGAACAGTTCACTGAGCTTGCACTGTCACTGAGGTGGAAGCTGGAATCAACAGCAGACACCTCACATCTTGGTCTTTCAGGGGGTGTGGATGCTCTGGGACCTTCTGGAAGATGAATTTCCGTCATGGTCCCCGTGTCACCAGACACACTGTGGCTGTGAACTCCATTCTGGCTGGCTATGTAAAAACAAAGAAGCAGCACATTTATAAATGTTTAAAAGAGCATAAAATCACGTGTAACTATAATCTGTAAAACAAATTAAAACTAGAAGGTAATAATAAAATGTTTACATAGAAGATTATTAAAAATAATTCACCTTTGCTACGCCGGTAAGGCTTCACGTCAGCCTGGACAAGTACATTCTTGCAGACTACTAAATCAGTCTGACAGCCAGTGTCTTGGGTAGATTTAGCCTGAAAAAAAATATAGAAGCACATTGTTGTTGTTTATAAAGTCAGATAATATACAAAAGAATCTCCTATATAGGCGCTTTATAACATTCCTAGTGTGTGACTGTGATGGGCCATTCCCATCTGTACCGGGTCGGCCCGGGCCGGGTAGCGTAGGTTGTTTACATATCTGGGTGGCCTGGTATTTTTCCGGGCCAACCAAGGCTCATTCTCAGCCCTCTTCTCGAGGGGGTCTGCTTCAGGCCGACCAGGGCCAACACACCCACTGCTGACAGCAAATTCACACCTTCCATTAGAGCAAGCCTCTGATTGGTGGGTAGAATCAGCCCACATGGGCTTAAGGCAAGGATGTGTGGAATCAGCCGGGCCAGGCTGGGGCCGACTGGGGCTACCCGGCCCGGGCCGACCCGGTACAGATGGGAATGGCCCATAAAAGTCAGTCACATATGATGTGAATAGAGCCTGAAATGCGACCTCCTGCACAGAATTCCTTACGGAACCGGGTCACAAGCTGGATTTCACGCTGTAATGCTGTCTGTCAACTAGTGCTGCGTCAGTTAGAGACACTGTTGCAGAATTACCGACTGACTAGCTAAATGGAGTGAACCACGTCTCTTAAACTTTGCATTTAGGTAGGAAATTGTCTTTAGAAGATGTTAAAACTTTTATTTAGCGTACTCACCTCAGACTGGAGCCCGCCGTGGTGGGGGAGCAGAGTCGGTGGGCTGCATCTAAATCGCGGAAGAGCCACGGTGGGCACAGCCTCCCTCTTCAAACGGAGACGTGCAGAATCGCGGGTAAAATGCTGGTTGCAAACTACAGCACCCGGCGGGAGCTGAATCTTTTCCAGACACCGATTGCGCGCAACCACTGGCGCCTAATTTCTAAGTCCAGCGGAAAGGAGTACAACCCCACAGAGCCACCGCAACCATACTACACTACACCTTCTCACCATACTAACACGATATGGAGCACTAAACCCGAACTACTTTCCTAATTACACTAACAGCCAAACACTAACTAAACTACACTATCCAACAGCCAAACTAACACTAAATAAGTATGTATAACACTAAAAGCTATGCTAAAGATTAGGATATGCTAACGCTATATGCTAATGCTGAACTAGGCTAGCCTCCTACACTCGCTTGCAAATCCAACTCCCAACTCGCCACAAGGCGTGGCCGAGACGCTCGATGCTTTATAACTTTGACACAGAGCTGCTACGTAGTACTCTACTGGTTTACGTAGTATCTTACTCTTTAGTCATTGGCTAAAATTTATTCAAAATGAGTCAAATTCTATGTTTTAAGCTGAAGGTGGCGCTATACGGTGGTATTTAGGCAGAATTTTTAATTTTTAAAGAAAATGCACCAAAATGCTAAAATAATGAATACACACATTTAAAATACACTCATTTATACAGTTCATCAGCAAAAAAAAGTTAATTTAGACGTTACTTGCTCTTTAAGTTCCACTTCAACATGAAGCGAAATTATTGAACGTTTTCATGAGTTTAAACCGTAGGAAGCTAGTTCCCAGATGTGTCTGTAGTAATTATTAACGCAACCAAACGTTTAAACTTGTTTAACGCGGTGACAAACAAATTTCTCCGTTACTGATGTCTTCCGCTGTTAGAAAAATGACAAAAGTTTGATCCTACAGGGATGATCGACACTGACCTGGTGACAGCTACTGAAAAAGCGATTTTTGACAGGATTTTATCTTTGAGAAAAATCACGAGGAGCTTAAAGACGGATATTAAAAGCTCGAAATAAAAAAGTGGGATAAAAATAAAAATAAGTTCGGTTTTTGCTAACGATAGTAGCTAGCTAGTAGCAGCGGTTTCACTGAGCTCTCATTAGCATGATGGGGGAAAACAACGTAATTGTTTGTGTTTACCTGCGTAGTCACTGATATCCCTGAAGGAAACAGCCGCAGGAGCCTCGGAGCGGATCAGATCAGCCAGTTTTAAGATGCCCATCGTGTTTGCCTCGGTCGCCTCTGTTTACACTTCCGGTTTCTTTTACCTGGTCTCCGTTTTCACCAGGACCCCCCCCCCCCCCCCCCCGGCTCATCTCAGCTGGTCTTCATCAGAGCTCCACATCCAGCCTTTATTATTACAGCAGCAGTTTTTACAAAACATCAACACAAAAAATGATCAAACACTCAGATTCAACAAGACTCCCATTTCCCAGGTTCAGACAGTAAGGATCACAGCAACAACATGCCTGTAACACACGAGATGTATCACTCTTATTCACATTTGCGACACATAAAGCCACACGTTGCTTTATAGCGTTTTTATTCCACAACATACATATCAGGATGTTCATGTTTTAGTCCTACTATGTACAAAACTTGTCAAAAACTCTCACATTCTAGATCCTGTCAGACAGAAAATGCATATATGAAGGGCTTAAATTTTAAATAAATATTTCATATGCTTCACAAATATCATAAAAGAAGACCCAAAGAACATCCAAGATAAATTTTATGGCCTCTGTAGATTTACTCTGGATATTTTGACACTTTGTGGATGGAAGTCATGTTCCCAAAACATCTGACACTCCAGTTAATTCTGGTTTGTCCTGAGGCGAGAGTTGAGACATCCCGGGGATTAAATGATGCAGTCTCACCTAATGTTGAACCACTGACCCCTCTTGTGTTGGTCTGCACGAATGAGAAGGTCTAATACCCTATGTGGTTTCATCCGTAGCACCTTGAGGTCTGATAGGTAGATGCAAACATCCTCACCAATAAAACCAATATTCATATAAACAAACATCGCTTATTGAGAGACTGAAGCAGTGAGTTATTAACGAGAAAACCAGGAGCATGTATCTCTGTAAATAAATATAAGCACATCAACATCAAATCAACCCATTTACCAAATAAATAAGATTTTCATCATAGCAGAGTGAGAATCAGCGCGACAGCACTTCCAAGTGGGACGTAACCTGGTCCAGAGTGGACCTCAGTGGCGAGCTGGACACCAACCTGTAAGAAAAGATGCCGATTTTCATCCCAGCTGGAACAGGTGAAGCTTCATCTTCGCCTGATAGTCCTAGAACAGTTGTGGACATTTGCTTTACACAATGATTCATCAGTACTCTATATTTCACCAGTGATCTAGTCTCCTCTCCAACCCATTTAAGCTATCTCATTCACACCGAGTGCAGAACGGAATCTGCGTGGCTTCCACAAACACACAAACCATTCTGGCATTTACACCCGGTGCCGATCCGGAGCTGCAGAATCTTTCCACGTGTTTCTATTTTTTCTGGACGCCACATCCCGATTCTCATGAAGATGAAGAAATTACACGAGCCGACAGAAAGTGAGACGTGAGCCAGCGAGGAAATATGGTGAACTTCCACATAAACCCCGTGTTGAGTCATCCTTCTGTTAATGACAAGATCACAGTGTGTGGTGTACACACACACACACACACACACACACACACTCACACACACACTCACACACACACACTCACACACACTCACACACACACTCACACACACACACTCACACACACTCACACACACTCACACTCACACACACACACACACGCTCACACACACACTCACACACACACACACACACACACACACACACACACTCACACACACTCACACACACACACACTCACACACACACTCACACACACACACGCGCGCTCACACACACACTCACACACACACACGCTCACACACACACTCACACACACACACGCGCGCTCACACACACACTCACACACACACACGCTCACACACACACTCACACACACACTCACACACACACACACACTCACACACACACACGCTCACACACACTCACACACACACACACACACACACTCACACTCACACACACACACACGCTCACACACACACTCACACACACACACACACACACACACTCACACACACACACACGCTCACACACACACTCACACACACACACACACACACTCACACACACACACGCTCACACACACACTCACACACACACACACACACACACACACACACAGCAACGCTGCTTAGGACTTCTAACCCCAGGAGTGTGACAGATGCAGGTTCGTAAACACGTGAAGGGCGATGACGGAGGAAACCCACGGAAACTAAAGCACGTGTGAAACACCCGAGTGGAGCGCGGTCTTCAGCCGGAGCTTGTCCCGTTCAGTCCCACGTGCTGATGACTCGGCACCAACTCCCGTTCAGATCAGCTGTCCGTGCTGTACTTTCCTGGCCGGGCTGGGCCGAGACAGCAGCAGGTAGTTGTGACACATCGAGATTATATTCCAGATTATTCCAGTTCTTCTGGTCTCCATGCTTGGGACGGTTGCTAGGACACGCTTTTGGAGGACTTGCTTTGGCTCCAGAGTTTTGGGGACTCACTAGAAGGCATTACCGACGTAACCAGATCCACGTGTTGATCAGCCAGAACGCCACGGTGGCAGAATACAGGATGGCCTCCCGCTTGGAGCGCTCTTTGTTTTCCTCCTCCAGCAGATGCAGACGCCGGTTGAGCTTCACAATCTGGACGAACACCAGAGAACAGAAAGCTAGTTAAAACTAGCGATGCTCAGAACACACTCAAAAACACCAGCCTGAACCTGTGTCGGGTATAAAGACTAAGCTGATGTCAGATTTCTGTCCCCGCATCAATAACGTACAGGAAAAACAACAACAACAAGCGGCTGTTTGGTCCTCTGACTCACAGAAAACAAACATTCCTGTTTCCCATAACGAGTCTCGCTGAGACGGATTACCTGCCGACGCAGTGACGAAGCATCAACCAGCCCAGACTCGTCCGGGTTTGCATCCAGGTCCAAGTGGGTTCTGTACACATCAGCACATCTTTATTTACAAGATTAACTGGAAACAAGCAGCCAGTCGTCGTTTCTTTCTGAGGACCTCTGTAGCTTTCACTTCACTCAATCTGAGTCACTGAATGTGTTCACAGCTTTTCGCTGGGGCAGTTTTTTCAACACATCTAACTCTTAAAAACACACAATGTTAACTAAATCAAAAGCTAATTTCCAAAATACAATAATGTACATCAGTACACTGGCACTAGGGTTGGCCCTCGTTTGATTTTGAACGATTCCAATTCCAATTCCTCGTTTCGATTCCAGTTCCTATCGATTCCCGATTCCGATTCTTTGAAGACATGACATGTGTTACATGAGCCAGCCAACCACAGGTCCTACTGGATGAAATCATCTTAACTTCAACATGAATTTTAACTCTATGAACAACAACATCACCTTCATTTAGACACAAACATGTTTTTAAAAAACTATATTATCTCGGTGGGTTTACCGTGGCTGCGGTGTAGGCGCCGTGACCCTTACCAGCCACCGTATCATCTGCTGAAGTTGCCGGCGGCACATGCGCACTTTGTTGTTTACAACCAAAACTTTCTTGAAGCTAAAGCTGAAATAATGGCCAAAGGAGGAGACGGCAGCGCTCAGGACATTTATTATCCCTCAAAGAAGACAAAGTGGGAAGTACGGGCATCTTTTGGATATCTGAAGAATGCCGAGGGACAGCTGATAGAAGACGGCTATCCTGTTTGCAGCACGAGCAGAAAAAGTGTCTGTGAAAGGCAGCAACGCTTCAAATCTCATGACACATCTGCGTGACCATCACCCACAACTCTACAGTCAACGCAAGGCAAGCTAACGTTAGCGTTTTAGCTAAAATGCGTGATCCGAGGATTTGGGTTGAGGGAGAATGCAACGAGTCGCTATATAAAGCAGCCGCAGCGCTTTATATAGAGATCATATCTCTCCTGTCTTAGCTTCCCTACATTGGCTACCTGTTAAATTCAGAATAGATTTTAAGATCCTCCTTCTCACATATAAAGCTCTTAATAATCAAGCTCCATCATACATCAGTGATCTGATTGTTCCATACGTTCCTAACCGAGCACTTCGCTCTCAGACTGCAGGTCTACTGGTGGTTCCCAGAATATCTAAAATTAGGATGGGAGGCAGATCTTTTAGTTATCAGGCTCCTCTCCTGTGGAACCAGCTCCCAGCTTTAGTCCGTGAGGCAGACACCTGGTCTACTTTTAAGAATAGGCTTAAAACATTTTTATTTGATAGGGCCTATGGTTAAAATCTGATGTTAGCCTAGATCAGGACAAGCGGGGGAGTAGAGGGAGGTGGAGTGTACAGTCGGTAAAGACGGCTCTCCCTTGCCCTGCCTCCAACATGCCTACATCTAAATAGGATAGATTATCCAGAGTTATCTCTGTAGTTATGCTGCTATAGGCTTACCCCAAAATTCCACTATCTCCGCTGCTCTCCGCTCCGGCACAAACTCCGCAGCAAAATCGGTCTTATTGTAGTCGATCAGAGCTGTTCCACTACTGCGGCCGTGCGGCGCAGTGCGCCGCCCTCCGTTCCACCATCCGGCAAAAATAAGATTGATTCTATTTTCGCCGGACGCCGGAGCACCTCCGCAGTAAATGGACAGGAATCACAACGGCCCAACAGGAAAGGGAGCAAGCACAGCTTCCGTTATTTCACAATACATCGATAAACAAAAGGCGTTTTTTGTTTCATATGCACAGGTTTAACAACTTTTAACAACTATCAATGGCGGCTGAACTTTAAATGCACAAAAGTAAGCCATAAATACAGTTTCTACTATCAAAGTAGTCACACTTTGTTGATCCAAACACTGCTGATCTCTCAACACACATGATGGCAGATTAAACAGTTCATTTCGATGCTTCTCCCACACAACGGGTGTTTGGATCCAACTTCCGCGTTTATTGCTCGGACTGTATCGCAGATCTCGAAAATCCCGTGCATGCCTGTTTGCGCACATCAGGTCTCCGCACCGGAGCGGAGCCGTTGTAGAGCGGGTACCAGTATGATTTGAGTTCGGAAGAGAGCAGCAGCGGAAAGCGGGGGCGGAGCGGAGGTAGTGGAATTTTGGGCTTAGACTGCTGGAGGATACACTGACCACTTTTCACACTCTACTACTTTCTTCTACAATCTGCTCTTTAACTGTATTACTTTCTGCAATTTCAGCTGTTAACTTTATTTTTTCTCTAAGTGTTTTTCTCCCCAGAAGAAGCTACAACGATGTTCTGCTGAGCTGTGGTGGCCTCATGGAGGGGGCCATCGTCTAGCACAGTGGTTCCTAACCTGGGGGTCCCGACTCCCACAAGGGGGCGCCAAAGCCTCTCAGTGGGTCGCCAGGACCTCTCCACTTTAAGGGGTTAAAACTTCATTTATTACTTGTTTATAGCCTACATTTTGCTCACATTTTTTTCATGAGTGAAAAGTTTACTGATATTAAGACAGGAAATAATTTGTACAGAAAGAGTAACACACTTTTAAGAACATTTTGCTCAGCTCACTGTTTTATTTTCAAGTGTCAAAAGTTCATTAAAGATAGGACTGGTTGATTAATCACAGCCTTTACAGTAAATAATCTAGTATAAACAGTAATATACACATTTAAGTAAATTTTGCTCAGTGTATTTTTATGTGTCAAACGTTTATTGAAAGGAATGATTGATTTATCCGTGTTTACAAGAAACAATGTGTTCAGAAAAGTAACACAAACTGTCAAGCACATTATGCTCTGTTTGGTTTTGTTAATGACTTTGTTCTGTACTGGAGCCTACTATTACTGTTATCTATTGAATCAAAGCATATTAAAATGTGCTTGAACAATTTTATCATTTCTTAATACTGTTTGTACTGGAAGAGAGAATGGGAGGGGGTCGTCAGAAATTTTACTGGTGAAAAATGGGGTCCCTTGGGAAAAAGGTTGGGAACCACTGGTCTAGCACACTGCTGCTAACCACTTAAACATTCTCCCTCTCCTGATAATAACTTTTTACTTTCCTTGACATTGGATGTGCTACTGCTAGTTTACCCGTTTAATTATAGATCCACTAGGAAACTTATTTCTGATTGGCTTAATGAACTGACCTGAATTGGAATGTTTATTATGTGAAGTGCCTTGAGACGACTCTTGTCGTGATTTGGCGCTATATAAATAAAATTGAATTGAATTGAAAAATGTAAACAAATAAACAACATAATTACAAAATAACACATTTTAGGCAAAATTTAGACACAAACTGAGGACAATATTTTCCTGATATACAGGGTTTATTTAGTTGTCTGAAAATGTAACGCGTTTAAAAAATACAGAGATAATACCGAAAACCGTGATAATTTTGGTCACAGTAACCGTGAGGTTAGATTTTCACACCAAGACAACCCTTCCCCACACTAACTTATTCAAGCAGAGCACTCCATCGAGTGTGAGCGACGCTGCGCCCTCTGGAGGCAGAGATGGGAGCTGCCTCCGTGGAGCACCATCCATCACACTCACAGAAACAGGAAGCTGGCGCACGCTCACCGCTGTCTGTCTTTAGATCGCCAGCATATACGTTTAATTAGACAAGTGCTGCACATGATGGGTATCTGATTTGGACCTTTAGGTCTCATTTGACCATCTTTGATTATCTTTGGTAAACTTTTCTAAAAACCTTAGTTTTAAATAAACTTTCATTTAGGAATACTCCCACATCAAAAACCAGCACCTGAACATTTAGAAACGACATTACCTGCGATGGCTGTCATCCAGGAGCTCCAGGACCTGCTGGTACGCACGGCGAGTCGTTGACTGAACGTACGACAGAAACCCTGCTGCCGTGAATAGGTTGATATTTGAATCTTCAGGGGAGCAGAGGGGAGGGCACAGGCGCACTGGTGCCAGAGGGGAGAGGCTTGCACTGGAAGGACAGATCAGTTATTTAATGGATCAAGCTAAGCGAGTGGTCTGCTTTAGACGAGTTGTGCTGAAGGTGGCCGTGATCTTACCTCACGTCTCCTCCTCTGCTCAATGGGCCACCGTGGCGGACCGACATGTTCTCACTAACGCTGCGTTCCCTTCGAGATCGACTGTGACAATTGGCCTATTATGGAAAAAGATGTTAATTGGCATTAGGTTCACATTATCATCATGTTATGCATTTTAAATAAGGATATTGCCGTGTGTAGACCAGATACCGGATGTTTGGCCGTCTATCCCAGCTTGTGTAAAACACACGACCTTCAGACTGTGCTCATTCACCAGGGTTGGGTCAAACAAGTCCAGAATAATAAAACCACCAGACAAACATAAGAAGTACTCTCCAGCACGAGGAAACAAACCAGCAACACAAACATGAACCACAGGCAAGCGGGGAGAAGTGAGAGAGATGGACGCTTACCAGCTAGACGTTCAGTTTGTGACAATGCTGGTGGCAATGTTTTATCTAGCGTCAGAAACATGCGTAGAGCTGCAGCACAGCTGTCAACATTCAACCGTTTCCCTCCGCTAATCCAGGTCCGGGTCCGGGTCGGGAGGGCAGCATCTGAAGTAGAGCATCCCAGACGGCGCTCTCCCTGGCCACCTCCACCAGCTCCTCCAGCAGGACCCAGAGGAGCTCCCGGGTCAGATTGGAGATACTCTTGCTCCATCGTGTCCTTGGTTGACCTGGGGTCTCCTGCTGGCAGGACATGCTTGAAATGCCACCCCCAGGAAGGCGTCCAGGTAGCATACTGACCAGATGCCCTAACCACTTCAGCTGGCTCCTCTCGATGTGGGGGAGCAGCGGCTCTAATCAGAGGCCCTCCCGAATGTCCGAGCTCCTCACCTTATCTTTACAGATGAGTCTGGCCCCCCACCGGAGGAAACTCATGTTGGGCGCTTGCATCCGTGATCTTGTTCTTTCGGTCATTACCCAAAGCTCATACGAGAGACGAGGGTTGGGACGTAGATCGACCAGTAAATCGAGAGCTTTGCTTTCTGGCTCAGCTCCCGATTCACCACGACAGACCACTTCAGCGTCCGCATCACTGCAGACGCCGCCCCAATACGCCTGTTGATCTCTCGCTCCCTTCTCCCCTCCATCAACTCCTCCACTTGAGACAGGACCTCTCTCTCGACCCAGAGTTGGGAAGCCACCAGTGGTGGCTGGTGAATTATGTTTTTGGTGGGGTGAATTTATGCTCTCTAGATGTTAGATGCGCTACCCAAATATCGCCACTAGGAGGCGCCAATTCACATTTCTTAAGATGGAATCCACAGTTTCTACCTCAGCAATGACACTAAATAAAAGGGCTGAAAATAGCTAAACACACAGAAAAACACACAGTAGCAACAATGCAACATGATCCTATCCACCAAACGTGTTTAAATGAAAGCCCAGACTCTCCTCTTCACAACAATATGAGCACCGTTACTTTACCTGCAAACCTCACGAAACTCAGCAGCAAAACAAAGCAAATTTCATCACGTTAAAAGCGTACATTTAGTCTAACCTTTGCTGGCGTTTGGTCATAATAATGCGTGTTATTGTGAAAAAAACACTTGGTTCGTGTAATCCAACGTTCCAATGCCACACAGAGCTAATTTCTGACTGTCTTGTGCTTTTTCATACCTGCTGGAGGGGGCTTTTAAGTCTCTAGTGGCACATTTCACCATTTTCAGGTTCTTCATAATAAAAATATCAACAACTGAGAAGTGTACTCAGCTGCTCATAAACAACAGAGAACGGTGAACTGACTAGAAGTTCTGGTTCTGTCCTGACCCGGGTTGAGAATCTGCCCTGCTGATCTTCTGCGCTTGTCGTTGCAGTCACCACACATCTGCATTCAAGGCTCCTCTACTCTTTATATTCCTCTATTATTTACACGGTAAACGTGTAAATAACATGTTAAAACTACAATTAAATACAGATTAAACACGTCTCATATCTGAGTGATGTTTAGTTTTATTTTCATGTATTTTATTTTTATTTTGTGACTCCTATATTTGTCTTCCTCTTGCTGTGAGATAGGTGGGGCGGCGCCCTATGGACGAGCCTCCACTACAAGCCACCCTTTTCCGGTCGAGTGCCATGGCCTTGGACTTGGAGGACCACATCATCTGCAAACAATAGAGACGAGATTCTACTGCTCTAAACTCGATACTCTCCACACCACGGCTGCACCTTTTGACCCTTTTGACCCACCCAGGGCTGATACAGCTATCAGGCAGCGACCTGTGGCCTCCATCAAAGACCTCCCAAGGCCCCACACATGGCTGCCAGAAGGATACCCCCTAGGGCAGCGGCACTCAATAGGCAGCCCGCGGGCCCCCTTTTGTGGCCCCCAAACCCTGCGCCCAGCCCCTAAAGTGAGCGTATTTGAACACGACAAAGTAAGTCACAAAAGGTGATGGACTTCCAGAGAAACACTCCCCCTCACTCACCAATAAACATCCAGGGAGCAGACACTGAGGTGGTGGACACCTTTAAGTACCTGGGTGTTCACCTCAACAGTAAACTGAACTGGTCCAACAACACAGATGATCTGTTTAAGGACAGCCAAAGCCGCCTCCACCTCCTGAGGAGGCTGAGGTCCTTCTGAGGTAATTCCCAGCTGCTAAAATCCTTTCATCACGCAGTTGTTGGCTCTTTTATCCCCTCTGCTGTGGTCTGTAGGGGTGCAGGCAGCTCGGACCGAGACAGGAAGAGACTGAACAAGCTAGTTCACAAAGCTAGCTCGGTTCTGTGCTGCTCACTGGATTCAGTCGAGATGTGTGAAAGTAGGATGCTGGGGAAGATGACCTCCATCTTAAAAACCCTTCCCACCCACTGCATTCCACTGTGGAGACCATGGACAGCTCCTTCAGAGGCAGACTGACATCCCAGATGTAAAACAGAACGCTACCGTAGATCTTTCATCCCCTCTGCTGTAAGAGTGTAGAACTCCTGGGTTTAAGCTGTTCTGGCTTTATCCAGTTACACAATAGCATCAATGCAACACTCGGTTAGGGTGACCAGATGTCCCACTTTGTGCGGGACAGTCCCGCATTTTCATTACTTTTCACGTGTAGCGCATTATTGAGTTTTTCGTTTCAAGTTTCAATCTTATAAAAGAAACTGGAGAAATCTGCCTGCTGCTGTCAATCAAAGGGAGGCGGGACTTTTAACGCAGATCCGGAGCGTGTGTGGAGCGCGCCCGAACCACCAAAACAAGCGTGAGCGAGCACGTAAACTCGTGAATTAAACGTGTTCAGAGATACTCGACAGTCTTTGTTGTTTCTGAGTCATTCTTTCATGTCTCGGTGCGGAGTCTGATATAAGAGGTCAAAAGAGGGATTTCCAGTAATTAGACAGGTCCATGATAAACACAATGGAGGTTCTAACACAGACACGGTGCTGCGGTTTCAGATACCTGCGTACACGCTGAGCCCTTAAAGCACAGTGACAAAATAATGAGAATAAATGGAAGCTTTCATCACTTATTTTCAGACATTTGAGGCAAAAAGTAACTCTAAGAAACTCTATTATTAGATTAGATCTGAATGTTTTAGAGATGATAATCTGATGTTTATTCTCTCACCTAAAATTAGAAGAGATTTTTTGTCATGTTGAAAAAATGTTTTGTTTCTGAATTATGAAAAAAATAGCAAAAAAGTGTGGCTATTTTTTCTATGAGATGCTGATTTCAGTGGAAAATTAATTTAAAAAAACATAAATAGATCTACAAATATTACTGGTACTTTTACTGTCATTCTGTTGTGGAAAACATTGAATGAAAACTCTGAAAAGCAGCTTAAACCTGCATGTTTTTATTATTGTGGGCCTATCTACGTTATTAAAATGCTCAGAGTCACTACTGAGTTTTGTTGCGTAACGTGAGAGGAACTGTGGAATAGTAAAGCGTTTGCTGTTTGCTTCTTCATGTTGAATTCAAAAAAATATATACAAGAAATATATGATGATGATGATAAGAATAATAATTGTATGTATATGTAACAATGATGTTCTGCTGAGCTGTGGTGGCCTCATGGAGGGGGCCATCGTCTAGCACACTGCTGCTAACCACTTAAACATTCTCCCTCTCCTGATAATAACTTTTTGCTTCCTTGACGTTGGATGTGCTACTACTAGTTTACCCGTTTAGTTATAGATCCACTAGGATAAATGTGTGTGTGTGTGTGTGTGTGTGTGTGTGTGTGTGTGTGTGTGTGTGTGTGTGTGTGTGTGTGTGTGTGTGTGCGTGTGTGTGTGTGTGTGTGTGTGTGTGTGTGTGTGTGTGTGTGTGTGTGTTGTCTTCTCCATCCCCAGTGAGTTGTGGAGGATGGCTGCTTATACTGAGCCAGGATTCTCTGGAGGTTTCTTCCTGTTAAAAGGGAGTTTTCCTCTCCACTGTCGCTAAATGCTTGCTTAGTATGAGGATTGCTGTAAAGACTCTGACACTAGTCAGTGACTCGATGCAACCTGCTGGGTTCCTTATATAAGAAACTTGTTACTGATAGGCTTAATGACCTGACCTGTATTGGAATGTTTATGTGTGAAGGTCCTTGAGACGACTCGTCGTGATTTGGTGATTTCTAAATAAACTTGAAATGAATTGAACATTATCCTTATGTATTAGTGACAGTCTGGACACTTAAAACAGCTGAAGACCCTGTTATTTAAAGCTGCTTTTACATAAATCTTTTGTCTTTTTATTTTAACTCAAATTTGTAATCATCTTTGATTTGTTTTATATTTTTTATTGTATGATTTAATTTTTTCTGATGTTAATCTATTTCATTATGATTGAATGACTTTTGTTTTGATCTATGTGAAGCACTTTGTGATTCTATGTCTGTGATAAGTGCTATAGAAACAAAATTTGCTTAATGATATTTTCACATGCTCTTGCTCTGTCATGTTTATATTGTTGGATTTTAATTGTCCCTGCTGGTTTTATTTGTTTTATTTTAATTGTACAGCACTTTGGTGGCATGTTTCATGCCAATGGTAAATGGTAAATGGCCTGTATTTGATATAGCGCCTTCTAGAGTCATGGAACCCCCCAAGGCGCTTTACAACACAATCAGTCATTCACCCATTCACACACACATTCACACACTGGTGGGGATGAGCTACGATGT